CATTTCGGCCTACCGTCGCAAAAAACACCGGTTTCCGTCGCAATTTACACGCAACCTTTTCTTTCAGGGGCAGGTGTACATGAAAAATTGATTTCATGGGTTTGTTGGGAGCATTGTTTGCAGGCACGTACTCAGGCACGTATAATCACCTATATACTGTAGTCATTCTGGACTGCCAAAACACGTTTTGCTCAGAACACTGCAATGATGTTTTGACAACCAGATGGTTGGAATGGATTGGGCGTGTTGCGTGCAGTGCCGGCAACACGCCCCTGACAAGAACACCATAGCTACCCTGCCACAGGCTTTATCATGGGAAGCAAGAGAGTCAAATGGGCCTTCACCTGGCAAAACCCTGCCATTTTTCCATGCCTTTCTGCACCCGAACAGAAAGAACACATCGTCCATTCCAGGGTTTTCAATGACTGCCCTACAGTCAAATCTCCTGTGGGTTTGGGGATGCTGCCAAGGCCAAGACCGTGGGCGAAAAGCTTCAGTCCTCCTTGGTTTGCTTGGCCGCGGCCGGGGCCACCGGTCCCCATTCGCGTGGTGATTGCGTCGAGCAAGGTGTTGGATGGAAGAGGAAGAATTTGGAGAAACTGACACTTCGGGCTAAGAAGCTACATAAACTACTAAATGCTGAAACACCCTGCACTTTATGGGATCCTTCATAGATGGTTCCAAAGATGCGTGCCAAAATGAAAAAATGGTGTCCTATGAAAATTGTGTTGGAAACTGAGGAACTATTCCTCAATCACCGTTGCAACACTTCCGTAGAAGTAAGTAGGGGTGTTGCAGTAACTTTATTCGATTCATGCTCGGCATCATGGATTGTGCTATGGCAGTGATGGTGTGCAACGCCGTCATTTTCAGAATCGCCAGAGCCCAGCGGTCCAATCGCCAGAGGCCGAATCAGAATCTAAGCAAGCAAGAGACATCAAGAGATCCATGTTCTTCTCCCCAACAAACGAAGTGCATGGAACCCTCAGGCACCCTAAACTGATTCATTTTCCCCGACCTGCCGGACCTGGGGAAGGTGCGCATCCGGATTGGACCAAGAAGGGAGGAGATGGCGTTCCGAACAGCCCCAAGATCGTCCAAGATCTCAAACAGACAAAAGGTAGACAGTTGGTGAATAAAGCCACCTCTGAGGATATGAGGATGGTGAAAAACATCTCAATAAAATCATCAACAGTCCACAGTACAGGGTGACCTGAGCGTCTTTGGGCCGGCCGGCCTACTGGGGACGCCTGCTCTAGCTGGGGACGCTCGGTCTCAGACCGCTTCCTCTCACCGAGCAAGCTCGCCCGGCTCAGGTGGCAGTGGCACCGGTTCCCGGGAGTAGCGAGATGTGGCTGGCCACCACCACCATGATGCTTGGCAGCAGGCGCGCTTCAGGTGGAACACGCGCAGCTAGAGGGACTGAAGCGGCCTGAGTTTGCCAGGGTTTGACAGAAGGGAATGCATTTGTTCGGGTTGACCCACACTGTTGGTTTTGCACAACCAGACTATGGAGTGTATTTAGAGAGAATTTGCAATCAGAGAATTCCCATTTTCTGATGGACAAGATGCAAGATGCTTACGTTTGGTCTCAAGAGCTTTACCTGTCTCTGAACACCAGGTCCGGTCGACGATCACGCCCAGCAATCGTCAAGAACAGAGCGCCCGGGTGGTGGTTTTAGGATCTTCCAGCGCCCTTGCGATCTACGGTACCCTGGTGGTTTTGCTTCGCCGCCTGAATGGCTTGTGACTCCACACCGAGGTTTCATGTAAGCCCATGGCCCATTCAGTGCCTGGGTCCAGAAGGACATGCTCCAGCTTTTCGACGATCGGGTCTCGGTGGAGCGGGAGCTTCACCCCCCCCCCCCCCCCCCGAAACAGGCGGGGACGGGTTTTTTCTGCAGGTGAATCTGTGAGTGCCCCGGGGGTCGGTCGTGTCTTGACGTACTTTCAGTGGGAGGGACATGTCTCGAATGATTTGAAATCCCATAAAGTATGTTTGGGTGTGTTTCTTTATGTGTCTCCTGGGCTGTTTCTTTTTAAAACTCCTCACCCTAATTAGTCACATGGGGACGTCAAATAGCGCTGTAGGACGCCCGACGCCCGATCTGAGGATGTGGTTGGACAAGGATCAAGCCTGGCCATGGCCCAGAAGGGTTGGAAGCAACAAACACTCGGATTTGGAGTTCATCATTAGATTCGCAGAGGAACCTTTTTCTGGAACCACCCCCAGAGGTACTTCTGGACATCCCTGGAGGAAACAATTTTTCCAGATTTGGGGTACCTCATCACTGTTCAACTTCGAACAAATGTGGATGTGTCATTATAACTCAGCGTTGTCATTGTTTTCCCTCCGACCAACAATCGTGGAAGTGGACAACTCCCTCTTGGAGGAAGAGTCAAATACCAAGCAGCCATTGTCCACGTCTGTTTGAGGGGCCAGTTGCTTTGCGGGGCTTTGGGGAGTGGAACATGTCCATCCAACGTGGAGTTTTTTTTTTCCACGCAAAGATCCGGGATCGCAGCGAGTCATCATGCTTCACAGATGTGCCAGAAAGACCAAAGCTCTTGTTCTCATGGCTCGACTGGATGGATAAAGTGTACAGCTGTCTGGGCTGCTCAGGAATTAGCTGAGGCGCCGGAGGTATGCCTATTCTGATTCCCCATTAGACCAGGAGCCAATGAGCTACAGGCTTCCCCAACTCACTAGTGAGGTGATGCGATACTTTCCAGACGCTCCATGGATGCAAGATGTACCTACATTTTATGCCTCAGCTGACTACTTAGACTTAACTTCCAGTTCTAGAATGCGAGGACCATTCTCCTAGACCTCCAACTACAGCTGTGGGACAATGCTTGCAAAGGACCAAGAATGTCCCACAGCTGTAGTTGGAGGTCTATGGTTTGCAGATACTCCGTGCTTAGCATCATTGGTTGAGTGTTGCAGCACTGCAGTTTTCTCCGAGCTCTGCTGCAGTTTTCGCAGCGCTTCAATGAAACGGAGTATGACACTGGTTCAGCGTTCATGTGGTTTTTGGAGGTGTTCAGTTGTCAATCATTGAGAAAGGTGGGGTTGGGTCTAAAATACCCTGATTGATGACTGATGACGCACGTCTAGGACACTCCATGGTGGAAACCTCGCCTTGCTGCGGTATACTATGCGGTCGCGCCCCTGCTAGCGCGCCCCTGCGGGCCGTGCCCTTAGGCAGCACGTGGTCTATGAGCATCCCCGGGATGCCGAGACGGACACCATCTTGGACCAGTTTCAATGCCGCTCCAGCAAGGCAACGTGCCTCGTGCCACGCGTACCACGCGTACAACTTGGCCCGAGAATTTTCTCGGGTGTGTCGGTGAATCCTCCAAGATGGTTCCGTTCCAAGTTCCTTAATTAATGGAGCAACATCCAAGGAAGGCGAGTACCAAATCAGGGGCAAGCAACTTTTGAAGGTGTGTGCACCTCAGAAGGGTATAGATAGACCGAAGCAACTCACTTGTTGTTCAGACGTCTTCCGAAAAGGAAAATAATAAACTACGGAACTCTCAATCCCAAAGATCATGATAAATATTGACATCTATCATATATCATATATGAGTTACAACTCCCTCCTTCCATTTCCACCCAGTTCCATGTCCCAGGTCCCAGGTAAGGCCAGGTGGGCCCCCTCTCCATAAAGCCCGTCTTCTCATACGCAACATGAAATCAATGGAAGGGTGGGGACAAGCAAATGACTGAAGTCGTCTCCAGCATGCGGGGCGTTGCACGTTCAGAACATGTGCGGAGCTCTCGCAAAACACAGCGGAACTCTCAGAACCAGTCTTTTCACGTGGGCCAAGACGAGGAAGCCTTGAGTGTAACCAGACCCAATGACTCATTTGACCGGACCTGGAAGTCAATCATCCACCACTATAGACTATAGGGTTAACATGAGTCATGACAGGACTCTCAGGGATCGGACCTGTCGTGACCCGACTCGTCCCGTCGAGTCGCACCATGGGCGTGGCCTCGGCGCTGGCTCGGCTCGCCGCTGGCTCGGCCGAGTGCCATGCAGGGAGAGGCAACACTGACACTGACAACAAGAGTTCTTCCTCTCCAACAGCGGAGATGTGAGACAGATAGCGGACATGTTAAATGCTAAATCAACTGCTACAAGCCTTTGAAGTTTCTTTGGAAGCTATAGACAGTTACAATTACTGATTCTTGAACGATTGAAGCTAGCAGCCTGAACTTCATCCACCGCATGTGGAGTATGCAGTGATCGAAGGATAGGAGATGTCATTATTGAAACGTGGTATGATGAGACCCGCTGGCCGTAGACTGGTCGATTCTCCACTCTCACTCTCAGGCTGGAATCAGTCGACAGCTGTCCTGCTCAGCCTTAGTCCCTCGCAAGCTCGGCAAGAAGTACAAGAAGTCAAGAAACCCAAACGAAGGCCTAAACCAGACCCTAGTGCAGGACTATACATACTCTCCCTTGTGAGACGTGTCTTGTCTTTAGCTCCCCGGTCGGAGCTTGTGAGCGACTTCGCAAGTCCGATGTCCTTCCCCATTTTCGAACCGACAGGCCAAACATGGAACGTCGGTCATGTCGGTCAGCACCCGCACCGAGAACCCACCTCCAGTCCCACCGAAACAAACATGCGGCTGAAGCCCCTGTACTCCGCGCGCGTGTGCACGACCTCGCGTGAAGTCGAAACATCAGCGACATCATGGCGTGGATGGGCACAGCATGAGCGACCGGCCACAGGCGCGGAGAGGATCTGAACTGGCTAGATCTTTAATGAGTGATGCTATACCCCACACACTCCATGTATGGAATATTTACCTACATTGGGGTGGTTTTTGGGGGGTCAATGTAGGCATATATGGCATACATGGAGTGTATGGGCTATACTGTACCAGGACACCCGGACCAGGGGCTTCCATTGATCCCCCTTGGAGAAAATTCGGGGTGTCAACCAGCCCGACAGTGGGTCCTGGTATTGGTGTTTTCTTTTTTCCATGCCTGGGACAATCCATCCTCGAAACGGGTGGATTCCAATCTGAGACAGGCCATGTACTTCGCCAGGCCATGGTTCGTTTCGGCACCCGGCTTCCGATCCCGGAAGACACTCGATCTGTGGAGCACCGAAACGGGTCCGCCGGGGGGGGCAGATGGAAAAAGGATCCTACGACCTCCTGCGACGAAATCGCCGCTTCGCTCGCGCGAGTCCGGGCTCCGATGCCACTTCAAGTCCGGGCTCAGTGGTGGTCACCTCTGAAGCAGAAAGGCCACATGCTTTGAGAAACTCAAGAATTGCAGCTGTCTGTTTAACAGAAACAAGAACACCTGACCAGTGTTTGTTTGTTTCTTTTCTGTAACGTTTAACATGATATACTTCTTACGAGACCCTAAGCGAGTGGATTCCGTGTGCAAAGCTGCCCTCCATGTAGCCGTACTCCATGGAACTCCCCCCTTTTTTTGCACACGTCGATGATCACACGTCGACCAGCGTTGGATTCCAAGGCCAAACCCACCAATGGAAGGCCAGTCTCTTCTCGGGGCGGAACCGCGTGTTGCGGGGTCACATGGGAGGGATGGGATGGGTTTGGTGCGGGGAAGTCGGCTTGAGGAATTCAGAACTCCTCCTATAGAGTGGATGGAGCCGTCGCCTGGACTGTTTGGCCTAAAGTTGTTAGTTCTTAACCCATGACCGCCCAGGAGAGGTATCATGGCGTGTCACCGGACGGTTGCATGATGTTCCATGTGTGCGTCACGTGTGGAACTTGGGAAAGAGCCATCCTGCTTGGACAGCATGGGCATTTGCCTTATCTTGATTTGAATGTGCAGATTGCAGAGTTATTGTTCAACCCACCTTCATTCAGTGGTCCCCATGCCGGCCCAACGTATGGGATGGCTGTGATCTTATTTGGGATGGCTGGGCAAGGCAGCATACTTAGACTCCAGAGCCCTAGACCAGTCCAGTGGAGACACTCAAAAAGAACATCCAGGAGCCGGTGGGACGGAAGGGGTGCGGTGCTTCGGGTACAGGTCCCATCAAGCCCGATCCCTCTCGCCCCTGCCATCAAGCCAGCGAATTGACACTTCCTGGAAAAAGGGGGGCTCATTTCAGGTCGGGAAATACACCAGTCTACCCAGCCAGGAAAATCTCAGCACCGTTGCCGTCCTCGGCGTCCAGAGCTCGCTCCAGGACCCGAAAGAAGCGCTTCTTTCAAGTGGCTCCAGAGCCCAAGGACCGAAGGGACCGAAGCTCCGCTCCGCCGGTCTCTCCCGGGCGCGGGCGACCGAGCGCGCTGTGTTGACCGCGTTCGTTTCGGGGGGTGCTCGGAGAAACCAAGGGTTGCGTCGGAGGTTGGGGGGGGAACCTGGAGTGGAAGGTCCATATAGATAGAGGTCAGACACCGCGTGGCACAGGTATAAACTTGGCCCTGACATGCGAACATTGAATAGTATTTGGTCGTGTATGACCAAGTCCCAGTCATTTCTTTGACCCGTTTTGACCCTGTAGGGCTCCTCTTTTTGGGGGGGAGGGTTTGGGCGGGCGGAAGAAGGACACAGAAGAAGGACACGGGGATCGGGCCGGGTGCAGAGGTACGTCAGTACGGTTGCGAAGCTACGATGAAGCTGTTACCTGTAATTATATAATTTGCACATGTGTATAAAACCGATATATATATATATATAGTAGTGTTTTTAATAGCCCAACCGTTGAGCAAAGACTTTATATACAACCAGTTGCAGGCTTGAACGGGTCATGTTTTCCTGCTGGCCACGCCTGTAGCAGCTGCGGTGCTGCCTCAGTCCCCACGCCAGGACAAGCGAGCACGGCCGGAGAATGTGCCGGGGAACTTAGTCCGAGCTGCTGCGGTGCCACGGCTGAGAGGTATCAGCCGCTGTGAGTGTGCCACACCAAGCCCAACCCAAGCCATAGGAGCTTGACCCATCAAGCCATGGTCAACCAGGGCCCCCAAGGTTTTCCAGGGCCCCCCCACAGCCATATATGTACCACTATACAGGATCCCTTAGTGACAAGCGTCCCTCGGGTTCTTTCTTCCGGGGACTTCAGCAGGACATTGGTTTGAAGATGTTTGAAGACAACTTTTTTATTAAGTAGCTGTAGGCTGCGGTATTTGAAACAACACGTATACATATACCTAGGGTGTAGCCCATGACCAGTAATAGTATACGTAGGTAAAAGATGATCGCTAGTTTTGAGAAAGGCCTTTACTGACCATCATCATCCACGGTTACTGGTGATGGGATAGACCCAACATATACCCAAATCCGAAGATTTCCAGAGTGCATGCATTCTTCGAGAACATCGCGAATAAAAACCCTCGAAGGTCCTGTTCCGAGGAAGGTCTACGCCGTGAATTCGCGCAAAATTGGTCTGGCAGTCTTTGGAGTTCTTGCACTCATACACCTCCTGGACCTGGTGGTCTCTCATGCGCCTCTTCGGCCTGGTGGTCTCTCATGCACTGGTTTCGTGTTTGTTTCAGAAGGGAAAGACATCCGTCTTCATCTCCTTGCGCCACTTCTCGTGGCAGTTCCGAGTTTGTCAGGTCCTCGACGGAGCAGGCGTGTGGGCGTGGGGGGCAGAACGGTCGGACGAAAGGGATTCTTCTTTTTAAGGGGGGGGTCGTTGCCTGGGAGGTCTCCCTAGTTTTAAGAGATGGAGTCCAGCCAACCGCTGAGGGTGGCCAGAATATTTTTTTAGTGATTTCGGAGTAGGAGTTGGAGCAAACGAAAAGCAATCTCAGAGTGCAGGATATGGGACATGTCAAAAAAATAGTGAGCGGAAAGGCGAGCAGAAAGCGATTCAAAGGTGATTTGATTGAAATATTTGGATACAAAAGCAATAAGAATAAATTGGATACCAACATACCTTACTCAGGACCTCACAAAAAAAAACTACATTTCCAGTGGTTGCCTGTCGTCGCAAGTCTTAACCCTAGTTGAATACACTGGCCATGTGGACTCTTGATGATAATTCAATCCCCCCCCAGACATGGATTGTAAAACCTCTTCAGGCTTGGGGGGTTGAAATCTCAACAAGCGGTCTGGAAATAGATCTTTTTGAACACCCCAGAGGTGCAACAACACGTTAAGCACCCGTGTAACACCTAATTAAACAAAAACACGTCAATGTACTCAAAACATGTAAAGAACCGTTCTCCTCGACGTGCGTACAGCATTTATAAGTGATATAATTATATATATATGTGTATAATATGTGACGCGCTATCATATGTTTGATTCATTGATATTCATTGCAGGCATGCTTTGTGAGTGCCCTTTTTGAGGGCAGCTGATACCAGATGTCATCAAGTGGACAAACGCCACACCATGGCATATCCATGGCATCTCCTGCCTTTTCAGCGCATCTATTGTACTCCAAGGATTTTCCACCTCGTCCCGCTCGGCACGGGCGGCATCGGACTCCTTCAGCTTATCGTTGGCGGAGCGGACCGGGCACCGTCACCGTCGCTGCTCAGGATGTCAACATGCAGCAAGCGGACTTGCTCATGTCAGTCTGGCCGCCCAGGGGAAAGTGCTGGAAAGTTGGAATGGGTAGATCAAGCCTCCACGAGTTCCATTGGGTAGACTGGTCTAATTCCTCTTCGGGCACAACCAGATGGGGTGTTGAAATATCATCAAATTGTCTACAATCTACTTCAGTCCCATCCCTTCCCTTCAACCAAGTTACGAGAATCCAACTACTCCCGTCCAGTTCGCCACACAGGCCTTCAACATCACACAGAACCTGTGGAGTAGACTGGGTGTCACTCTCCCCGCAGGGCCGTCCACGCTGTCAGCGGGGGGTCTCTTTGGATTGGGAACACGCTGTCAGCAGTGCTGTCAGCATCTTGTGGCCAAATCCGCACCCAGCCAGTACCAGTGGTTTCAGAGGCTCGATGGCACGTTTCCCCCATGATGTCCTAGACAGATGGGGGTCCATATAAACCACCGACATTGGGCGCTGTGCCATTGGTCCTCTCAATCCACTTTGCACCAAACAGAGTATCAATCAGATCGAACAAACAGAGGATGGAGTTGTTCCTCCACCCGGATGTCTTGCAGAACTCAGAACATGTGGTTGTTTCGGAAAACATCATTGTTTTTTTAATTTGGGTTTCCACATGTTCTCCAGGCATTCTCCAGGCAGCTGGCATTCATTTATTTTTAACACACGTTGAAGTTGAAGCTACAAGAAGCTCGAGACACTCGAAAACTAGAGCTTTTGCAGGTGGTGCTTCTGGGAGCGGATTCCTGAGGAAGACCTCTGATAGTCAACATACTTGTACTGTCCTATAACTTACAAGTAAGAATAATATATATAACTGCCTTATAACTTATAACTTACTTGTACTGCCTTATCTTGGTTATGCTACAATCCCCGTTTTTGATGGTGTGCAAGTGGATACCACCAACTCCTGCCTTGCCTTTGTGGCTTAATTCATCATCAGGGATTCTTAGCGCTGCCGGTGTCACGACGTGTGGCTAAAATTGTAAAACTTCTGCTCCAGCTGCGCGCTGCGCGACGCTGCGCGGTGCTCAGTGAGGGTTTCAGTACTCAGTGCTCAGTTGCTAAAAAGACCCTTCGTTTGCTCAACATGTCGCATGCTGGGCAGTTGCTCTTCGCAGAACATCAATCTTCCGTATAGCTTTGATTAGCTAAAGACACCAGGCTGCCTGGGACCCCCTTTGGTGCAGCGACTGGACGCCCGAATGAGTTCGATAGCTCCTTGGGTCCCAGCGAATCCCCACCGTCGTGGGGCCTTTTTCACCGTCCTGCGCCAGGCAGACTTGGCTCGTCCAGTACACTCTGTAAACCTTGCATTCCCAGACACTCCATGACCATGTATGGTATGCCTGACCGGTCAACCACCTCAATGGAGCGGAAACGACGTTTGTACTGACGCGTGAAGAAAACAAACACGTCCCACCCGGTGGTCGGGAGCTTTTTTTCAGTCGGCCACTGAGGTCTGGGTGGATTCAGATGATCAACTCTCCCTGGAGGCGCCCCACCGGATCCGCTGTGCACGGACGAGACGAGACACCGCGGGCGTCGGCTGCGGACGGTATCCAGTCTGAACACCCAGACACGACCTGTCTGGGACTGCCATATATGCCGATCAGTTGGGGTGGTTTTGGGGGTCAATGTAGGCATATATGGCATACATGGAGTGTGTGGGTGTTTGGAAGACGATGTCTAAAAGCTTTGATTTCAATTTCAATGAGAAAGTTCACAGTTGCAGAAACAATAGAACTGTCAGAAACCATGTGAACTATAGAGACTTTTCGCTGCGCTTGTGACGAAACGGTAAGGCCACGAAAGGCCTGCGTGCTTTCCTGACGCCGATGTGTTTTTTGTGATTCTTGGAGGGGTTCTCTATTTATATAGTCTTTAGAGCAGTGGACATGTCATTGAGCAAGAGTCTAATGAAAGCCGAGATGTCTAGAAAAAAGTACACACCCTGTAACGACGATATATTAAAGATGTCTAAATAGAAGTACAAGAAATAACTAAGACACAAAGCTTTCTCCAGAGAATGGTGCGGAAAAACATAGATATTTTGAGAGTATAGTCTAGTATATAGTATGAAACCATAAACCACCAAATGATAAGCTAGTCTTCAATTGGTTTCATGAAGTTCTTCATTTTTCGCATGCAGCGTGTTTGGTCAAAAACATGCGATGTTATTTCCCTTTCGCTTTTGGGGCCACGTGGGTCCTGGACCCATGGCTGCCATGGTTGGCTCAGAGCATCATGGAGCCAGTGGGCTGTCCATCGATAAACCCACCATGGGTCTGTCCATCTATATGGCAGTCCATGTGTCCTGTAACAGTCAGTAATCAAATGTCACTGTTTTGCTAACCATCATCCACTGAGCCCCTGCTAGGATAGACCCAAGATATGGCAAAATGGATCAAAATCCGAAGCTCCGAACCAAGGTAGGTGAACTTTCCCGGCCTATTCTGTTCATTCTCTGTGGTCGGCCCCGATTTTCGCCATATGACGCCTCTCACAGCTGGAAGGGGCACTGGTGAAGATGTCTCTTCTTTAAACCAAAAGATCGAACCAATGTGAGTCATGGTGAGTGTCAAGTTAACCTTTCAGAACCCTCCCAGATAGGGGGTGGTCCCAACAAAATACGCTGGCCGCCGGGAAAGTCCGCGACTTTCCCATTCTCCCTCTGGAGATGGGAAAACACTCGTGGTGCCGACTCGTCCTGCCGAGCTCCCGCGCCGACGTCGTGAAGCGCGTCAACGCCGTGGACGTCCGTCGGTGGCTTCGGGTCCCCGCCAGGACTTTTGGTTTGCCACCGAGGCCCGGCTTTCGGTGCGCCGTCGTGTGGCGCCGGGGCGGGTCCTGTCGCGTCCGCGCCGTGGATCCGGTGAGTGGACGGTGGGCTGTGTCGTGAAAGGGCCATGGTCTCGTGGACGGTTGGGCCCGGAGCTGCTGACTTGAGTTGAGGTGTATTTAGGATCCAGCTGAGAGCGAGACGAGAGAACGCATCGACTTCGATATCTTGGAATATGACGTGGATGAGAAGTAGGATATGTATATCCCATACACGACTAATGGGACTGCCATATATGCTGCCCCATTGACCCCCCCTGGCACCACCGATGCCAGTCCCATTAGTCGTGTCTGGGTATATGCGTCACGTGCTGAAGCGGTGGCCCTGCAGCCAGGTGATGGGTGCGACACTGTCGGTGGACAGGGTCTTGAAGGCTGTGAAACACTTGCCACATGTGCCACCCGGCGGGTCTGGGGACGAAGACGGCAGGTTGTGACTTGGAGGGACAGAGGGAGAGCAAGCCTGCTGTTCAACGCTGCTGTTCTTGTGATCTTTTTCACCACCTTGCTGTGGGACAAACATTGTGAATTCTGAGACAGCTATGAACATGCGGAACAGGTCTTAGCAGGTAATTTATGACATCAGGGCTTTGGGCAACAATTGCTGAATCTTTGTGGTGGTTGCCAGTCAGACTGAACCCAGCGAGCTCATTTTGTTTGCCAGCTATCGCAATAAAACTGAGATATGTCACATCAAATGCAGATTTTGTGCCAGTTCCGAAGAGATGATGTTTCGCCCCTTCTTTGAGATTCCAATAGAGACCTTGAAAACCCTATCAATCACTGCCCTTGCGACTCATGCTATGAATATTGTTCATTGTTTCCACACGAAAGCCCAGTCAAACCGGAAGCACACCAGTCGCTTTGTACAAGAAGCATCAAACGCACAACTCAAGTATTCAGCCACGTCAATATTTTGAACTTGCATGGACTTCTTGAGCCATTCTGTGGTTTGTGGCCTAATCCTGGATCATGGGGTGAAACACCCAACAAGTGATGCGCCACGACTTCCCTTGGCTTAAATCGGATCAGGTGAGACGATGATTTCATGTCCAAAACATTCATTGACTTGAGCACTCTTAACCCATACCGCTGTCTAGCACATAATTCTGGGGGATTTTTTTCATTGTTCTTTTTGTTAGTTTTTCTCCAAACAGTGTGGGCACACTGAGGGGTTCTTACGGTAAGGGAAAAGCAGGTGTGCTTAGATCGCTGTTCCGCGCGGGCGTGTGCGGCTGATTCGCTGCTATTTACAGTACATTCATGCCTCTCGACATCGTCCATGTGCACTTCGACTGCGCAGGCTCGCAAAATCTGCCTGCCGGCAGCGGGTGCTTCAGGCGACTGCGCTCTCGTTGTGGTGCCGTGCGCATTTTGGTACATGGTGGTCACTTTTCGTGACAGGTGCAAGGGAAACCTCGTGCTTTGGTGCTGCAAAGTCGACTTTTCGTGACAGGTGCAAGGGATCGGAGGTGTTTTACTTCGAAATGCCCTTTTCGTGGCAGGTGCAGCACTTTGGACATGGCGGTGATCGTCGAGGAGCTCAGATTTCGTGACAGGTGCATTGAACCGTGGCTTTTGGACATATGTGGCCACAGCACTCTGTGACCCTCGATGTGCAGATTTCGTGGCATTCACAGCACTTGGCCACAGATCATCCAATCGCATGAGCTCTATGCAGGTGATGCTGAGTGCAAGCGGCAGAGTGAGTGTGAGTGCGAGTGTGAGTGAGAGTGAGAGTGGGAGTGTGAGGGAGTGTGAGTGTGAGTGAAAGTGGGAGAGTGAGAGAGTGAGCATCTGAGAGCACAAAGTACTGCGCCTGCCACGAAATCTGCACTTCGAGGTTCACCAAGTGCTGTGCCTGCCACGAAATCTGCACTTCGAGGTTCACCATGCGCTGTGCCTGCCATGAAATCTGCACTTCGAGGTTCACAAAGTGCTGTGCCCGCCACGAAATCTGCATTTCGAGGTTCACCAAGTGCCACGAAATCTGCACTTCGAGGTTCGAATTCACCAAGTGCTGCACCTGCCACGAAATCTGCACTGCGAGGACCAAGTGCTGTGCTTGCCACGAAATCTGCACCAAGTGCTGTGCCTGCCACGAAATCTGCACTTCGAGGTTCACCAAGTGCTGCGCCTGCCACGACATCTGCACTTCGAGGTTCACAAAGTGCTGTACCTAGGCTGTCACGAAATCTGGACTTGAAGGTTCACCAAGTGCTGCGCCTGCCATTGTACAATTGTTGCGCGCAAGACCTCAGGATCTGCCGCTGCAATTTGATGGCAGCACCTTGGGCAAGACGCTCTAGGCGAATGTATAGCATCAGCTTTCATGCAATCTCCAGTCGTGAGGGAGATGCTGGAGCCTGCTGCCACAGGAATATTGCGTGGACATTTCACATTTGCAGAACTTGCAAAAGAACTGCAAGCTGATGATCTCGCCACACCTGATTACAAGCACTGGGAAGAATTTCAAGGAAAGTATCTGCGGTGAGAAAAGCTGGCTTGCTACCCTCTGATGATGAAGCCTCAGTCAATTATTATGGCCATGTGTTGTTGTGGCTGGCAAACATGGTCCCAAAAGTGCTCGCAACTGCTGACAACTCTGGGGCATCTAGCAAGGCTACTCTTGAGCAGGAAGTGAGGGCGGAGCTGCGAGTGTCATTGCCAGATGCCAAAGGCGGGTTGATGCTTTGGATTGTCGATGCTACCCGCAATGACTGCAATGCTGCAGTACCCAAAGCCACACGTGCATATGCTGGTGTGCGCAAGCCAACACTTGATGTGCCACAAGCTGTGCTTGATGTGGAGAGAGAGAGAGAGAGAGAGAGATGAGTATGCAGCAGCCAGACCTATTTTGACAATCAGACATCGCGAAGGACAGAAGACAGTGGCGCACTTCTTCAGATGGATCAAAGCCAGTGCCAGGCGCGCAAGGGTATTTCTGGGTCATCAGACAAAGGAGATGCCTGCAATGTTGCCAGC